TGGAGCCAACTGAATCATGGGGCAGTTTCCCCCATACTGTTCTGTGGTAGCAAATAAGTCTCACGAGATCTGATGATTTTGTCAATGGGAGTTCCCCTGCAGAAGCTCTTGCCTGCCACTATGTAAGATGTGACTTTGCTCCTCATTCCCCTTCCACTACGATTGTGAGGCCTCCTCAGCCATGTGGAACTGAGAGTCAATTAAATCTCTTTCCTTTATAAATTACCCAGTCTCAGATATGTCTTCATTAGCAGTGTGAAAACAGACTAATATGTAGGACCTCCTTGGATTTTGGAGGCAACATATTACTCATATGGCTTTGTTTCTCTGGCCTATTTATGAAGCGACCTGAAAAGCTGCTAGTTTTGAGTGGGCTCCAGAATAAGAGAAGGTTCTGCAACAGCTCCAGGATGCTCTACAAGCTGCTCTGCCACTTGAGGCATATGATCCAGCAGATCCAATGACAGTGGTGCTTGAAATGACAGTGGCATTTAGGGATGTTGTTTGGAGCTCTTGGCAGGCCCCCATAGGTGAACCACAGCTCAGGCCCTTTGGATTTTAGAGCAAAGACTTGCCATCTCCTGCAGATAACCACTCTCCTACTGAGAACAGCTCTTGATCTGCTACTGGGTTTTAGTAGAAACAACACTTGACCATAGGCCACCAAGTTACCATGTGACCTGAGCTGCCCATCATGATCTGGGTGTTATCTGACCCAGCAAGCCATAAAGTTGGGTGTGCACACCAGTGCTCCATCACCAAATGGAAGTGGTAAATATATGATGGGGCCTGAGCAGGCCCTGAAGGCACAAGCTACATGAAGAAGTGGCCCAAATGCTCATGGTTTCCACTCCTGATACACAGTCTTCTCTCTCCCAGTCTGCACCTGTGGCCTCATGGGGAGTTCCCAACAGTCAGCTGACAGAGGAAGAGAAGACTTGGGCCTGGTTTACAGATGGTTCTGCATGGTATGTAGGCACCACCCCAAAGTGGACAGCTGCAGCACTATCACCCCTTCCTAGGACATCCCTGAAGGACAGTGAAAGGAAATCCTCCCAGTGGGTAGAACTCCCAAGCAGTGCACCTAGTTGTTCACTTTGCTTGGAAGGAGAAAGGGATAGATATGCAATCATATACTGATTTGTGGGGTGTGACGAATGGTCTGGTTAGATGGTCAGGGACTTGGGAGGAACATGTTGGAAAACTAGTGACAAGGAAATCTGAGGAAAAGGTATATGGATAGACTTCCTTATGTGGGTCAAAAAAAGTGAAGATATTTATGTCCCATGTGAATCCTCACCAAAGGTGACCTCAGCAGAGGAGGATTTTAAGAGTCAAGTGGACAGAATAATCATTTCTGTGAATACCAGTTAGCCTCTTTCCCCAGCTATCCCCTCATTGCCCAATGGGTTCATGAACAAAGTGGCCATGGTGCCAGGGATGGAGGTTATGCATGGGCTCAGCAACATGCACTCCCACTCATGAAAGCCAACCTATGACCACTGCTGAGTGTCTAATCTACCACCAGCAGAGACTATCCCTGAGTTTCCAATATGGCATAATTCCTGGGGAGATCTGTCAGCTATCTGGTTGATTACTCTGGATTGCTTCCATCAGTAAGGAAGCAATGTTTTGTCCTTACTGGAACAGACACTGTAGATACTGGTTTGCCTTCCATGCACACAAAGCTTCTGCCTAAACTACCATCCATGGTCTTACAGAATTCCTTATCCACCATCATAATATTCCATACAGCATTGCTTCTGGTTAAGGAACTAACTTCACAGTCAAAGAAGTGCAGCAATGGGCCCATGCTCATGGAATTCACTGCTCTCACCATGTTCCCCACCATCCTGAAATAGCTGGCTTGAAAGAATGGTGGAATGGACTTTCGAAGACTCAGTTACAGTGCCAGCTAGGTTACAATACCTTGCAGGGCTAGGGTAAGATTCTCCAGAAGTCTCTATATACTCTGAATCTGTATCTAATATATGGTGTTGTTTCTCCCACAGCCAGGATTCACAGATCCATGAATCAATGGGTGGAAATCAATGGGTCCTCATCAACCCTGGTGACCCACTAGCAAAATTTCTCCTCCTGTTACAGAGACCTTTTGGTCTGCTAGCCTAGAAGTTTCAGTTCCAAAGGGAGGAATGCTTCCACCAGGGGACACGACGATTCCATTGAGCTAGAGTTTAAGGCAAAGAAGGGAGTTCTGGTGTTGGTTGGAGTGATTGATCCTGTCTACCAAGGGGAAACTGGACTACTACTCCACAATGGAGGGAAGGAAGAGTATTCTAGAATACAGGAAATCCTCTAGAGAATCTCTTAGTGTTACCATCCCTTATGACTAAGATCAATGGAAAATGACAACAACCCAATCTAGGCAGAACTACTAACAGATTTTACAGCAATGAAGGTTTGGGTTACCCTACCAGTAAAGAACTATGACTAGCTGAGTTGTTTGCTGAAGGTAAACAGAATATGGAATGGGTAACGGAAGAAGGTAGTTATAAATATCAGTTATCATGTGACTAGTTACAGAAACAAGGGCTGCAATTGTCATATTTCCTCCTTATTTTGTTATGAATATATTTGTTTATATATATCAAATACTTATGTTTTCTTCCCTCTCTTATTCCCTTATCATGTAACATAAGGTGTATTGGCTTTAAATAATAGTATTTAAGAATTGTTAACTTTACATCATTGTATTTAAGTTACAGGATATCAAAGAAAAGAGTAAACATCAGTGAAGGACTCTACCTCTTTTGCTGGGGAAATGGTTAGTGTGCTTTCGGTTGTAGGCAGAATAGTTTTATCATGTTAGATGGAATTATGACCTTGTTATGGTCTTCATTTGACGATTAAATATGGTTTAAGGAGGTGTTATATGGGTGCCAAGTTCACAAGGCATGGATTTGTGATAGTTAATTATATGTGTCAACTTGACTGGTCTTGGGGTACCCAGATATTTGGTCAAACATTATTCTGGGGTTTCTTTGGGGATGTTCCTGGGTGATAGGAACATAGGAACATTTAAATTGGTAGACTGAGTAAAGCAGATTGCTCTCCCTGATGTGGGTGGGCCTCACCCAATCAGTTGAAGGCCTGAATAGAACAAAAAGGATTACCCTCCGTGAAGTAAGACTGAATTCTCCTGCCTGTCTTCAAACTAGAATATCAGCGTTTTCTTCCCTTTAGACTTAAGTGGAAACATCAGCTCTTCCTGGGTCTTGAGTCTGCCAGCCTTTGAACTGGAACTACACCATTGGTACTCCTGGGTCTTCCTCCTGACAACTCACCTTGCAGATATTGGGACTTGTCAACCTACACAATCATGTGAGTTGACTCCCTACAATGAATCTTTGTTTGTCTGTCTTTCTCTCTCTCTAGCTCTCTCTCTCATATATATCCTATTGATTCTGTTTCCCTGGAGAACCCTAATACAGATTTTAAAATAAATATTTGTATAAATTAAATTTACATGTTAGGTTCTAAAAAATTACTATTATTTAGAGATGGGGTCTAGTTATATTGCCCGGGCTTGAGTACAATGGCTATTCATAGGCACAATCATTGTACGCCACAAACTCAAACTCCTGGGCTCAAGCAATCCTCTTGCCTCAGCCTCCTGAGTAACTGGGACTACAGGTGTGGGCCACCATGTTGGGCTCAAAAATTAATTTTGGCCAAGCATGGTGGCTTGTGCCTCTATCCCAGCACTTTGGGAGGCTGAGGCGGGAGGATTTCTTGAGGCCAGGAGTTCAAGACTAGCTCTGGCAACATAGAGAGACCCAGTATCTACCAAAAAGAAAAATTAATTTTAAATGTTAAAAATTAATGTTTTAAATGTTCAAAAATTTAAATTTTAATGCATTTAAAAATAAAACTTAAATGCATTAAGAGTGCTTTAAAATAAATTGCATTGAAACATTTTTAAAAACCCAGGTATAATCCTGAAATCTATAAATTAATCTATAGATCTATAGAACTTATAGATCTTGAAATCTATAAATTCACCTCACTCTACAATATGGATTAGAAGTACTTGAGACACAGAAAGACTAAGGCAGCTGCCTGGAGACTTGGATCCACTAAGTGGCTGAACTGAGATTTACATGGGAAAGATTAAATAGTAACTATTTTACATGAGAAAGATGAAAATTACATGAAATAAATTATGTAAGGGACACAGGCTGATATATGCAAAACGGTCTACATATTTCAGGATAAAAACAGTATTCTTTAAAAAAAAACACCCAGGTGTAATAAATATTCTCCGGTGGTTAATAAAAAGTCTAAAAATTCACAAAGTATTACTTACACTCATGTATGGATTTTTTTTTTTCTTTTCTTTTGAGACAGAGTCTCACTCTATTACACAGGCTGGAGTACAGTGGTGCAATCTAGGCTGACTGCAACCTCTGCCTCCCAGGTTCAAGTCATTCTCCTGCCTCAGCCTACCGAGTAGCTGGGATTATAGGCATATACCACCATGCCGAGCTAATTTTTGTATTTTTAGTAGAGATGGGGTTTCACCACGTTGGCCAGGTTGGTCTCAAACTCCTGACCTCAGGTGAGCCACTTGCCTCAGCCTCCCAAAGTGCTGGGATTACAGGCATGAGCCACCATGACCAGCCTAGACAGATTTTTTGTTTTTGAGACAGGGTCTGGTTCTGCTGCCCAGGCTGGAGTGCAGTGGCACAATCTCGGCTCACTGCAATCTCTGCCTCCTAGGCTCAAGCAATTCTCATGCCTCAGCCTCCTGGGTAGCTGGGACTACAGGCACGCACCACCATGCTTGGCTAATTTTTGAATTTTTAATAGAAATGGGGTTTCACCATGTTGCCCAGGCTGGTCTCAAACTCCTGGCCTCAACTGATCCACCCACCTCGGCCTCACAAAGTGCTGAGATTACAGGCATAGCCACCGAGCCAAGGAATCAACTTAATTAAGTAATTCTCCTGTTATATGCTTTCTTTTTTTTTTTTAAAGAAAATAATTCAGAATGAATTTCCATCAAAAATCAGTATTTGGCTAATTGTTAACTTCAAAATCCAGTAATACACTCACTTGCTGCCACCAGCCCGTACATCATGTCCTCCCATGGCTCTGCCGCCCCGCTCCTCCACAGGTTGCAATGGAAGAAGAGATCGCCACGCTCGTCATTGACAATGGCTCTGGCATGTGCAAAGCTGGCTTTGCTGAGGATGGATGGCCCCGGAGCTGTGTTCACCTCCATCATCTCCATCATCAGGCACCCCCCTGCACCAGGGGGTGATGGTGGGCATGGGCCAGAAGGACTCCTACATGGGCCTCGAGGCCCAGAGCAAGCGCAACATCCTGACCCTGAAGTACCCTATCGAGCATGGCATCATCACCATCTGAGACGACATGGAGAAGATCTGGCACCACACCTTCTACAACGAGCTGTGCATGGCCCTAGAGAAGCACCCGGTGCTGCTGACCGAGGCCCCCCAAATCCCAAGGCCAACAGAGACAAGATGACTCAGATCATGTTTGAGACCTTGAACACCCCAGCCATGTATGTGGCCATCCAGGCTGTATTGTCCCTCTAAGCCTCTGGGCGCATCACTGGCATTGTCATAGACTCTGGAGACAGAGTCACCCACATGGTGCCCATCTACAAGGGCCATGCCCTTCCCCCATGCCATCCTGCGTCTGGATCTGGATGGCTGGGACCTGACCAACTACTTCATGGAGATCCTCACTGAGCTTCACCATCACGGCCAAGCAGGAGATTGTGCGCGACATCAACGAGAAGCTGTGCCACGTCGCCCTGGACTTCGAGCAGGAGATGGACACTGCCACATCCTCCTCCTCCTCCCTGGAGAAGAGCTATGAGCTGCCTGACGGCCAGGTCAGGTCATCACCATCGGCAACAAGTGGTTCTGGTGTCTGCAGGCACTGTTCCAGCCTTCCTTCTTGGGCATGGAATCCTGCAGCATCCACAAGACCACCTTCAACTCCATCATGAAGTATGACGTGGACATCCGCAAAGACCTGTACGCCAACACAGTGCTGTCTGGCAGCACCACCATGTATCCTGGCATCACCGCCCTGGCATCCAGCACCATGAAGATCAAGATCATCATGCCCCCACAGCACAAGTACTCGGTGTAGATCGGTGGTTCCATCCTGGCCTCACTGTCCACCTTCTAGCAGATGTGGATTAGCAATTAGCTATGTATGACGAGTCTGGCCCCTCCATCGTCCACTGCAAATGCCTCTAAATGGACTGCAAGCAGATGTTCAGCATTTGCTGCATGGGTTAATTCAGGAGTATAAATTTGCCCCTGGCAAATGCATAAACCTCATGCTAGCCTCACAAAACTGGAATAAGCCTTCAAAAAGAAATTTGTGGCCAGGTGTGGTGGCCCATGCCTGTGATCCCAGCACTTTGGGAGGCCTAGACGGGTGGATCACAAGGTCAGGAGTTTGAGACCGGCCTGGCCAACATGGTGAAACCCCGTCTCTCCTAAAAATACAAAAATTAGCCAGGCATGGTGGCATTCGTCTATAATCCCAGCTACTGGGGAGGCTGAGGCAGGAGAATCGCTTGAACCTGGGAGGCGGAGGTTGTGGTGAGCCGAGATTGCACCGCTGCACTCCAGCCTGGGCAACAGGAACAGGGTGAGACTCTGTCTCAAAAAAAACAAAAAACAAAAAACAAAAACAAACAAAAAAACCACACACACACAAAGAAATTTGTCCTTGAAGCTTGTATCTGATATCAGCACTGCATTGTAGACTTGTTGCTGATTTTGACTTTCTATTCAAGTTATAATCAAGTTAACTGTTCCCCTTGGTATGTGTTTAATACCTTGTACACGTCTTTGATTTCAACCTTTAGTACATGTGGCTTGGCCACTTTGTGGCTGAGGTAAGAATGTGCTTGTGGAAGACAAGTCTGTGGCTTGGTGAGTCTGCGTGGCCAGCAGTCTCCAATATGTGCAGGGTATTAATGTGTCAGGGCTGAGTGTTCTGGGATTTCTCTAGAGGCTGGCAAGGGCTCCTGAACCAGTTGTTTCTGTCCTTCTGGTCTGTCCGAGTTGGAAAGTCCAAGCCATAGGACCCAGTTTCCTTTCTTAGCTGATGTTTTCCTGCAAGAACAGTTACTTGCCTTGAGTTGGAAGCGGTTTGGATTTACACCTGTAAATATATTCATCCTTTTAATTTATGTAAGGTTTTTTTTGTACATAATTCTCAATTCTTTAAAGAGATGACAACAAATTTTGGTTTTCTACTGTTATGTGAGAACATTAGGCCCCAGCAACACGTCATTGTGTAAGGAAAAATAAAAGTGCTGCCATTAAAAAAAAAAATCCAATAATAGAGAGTGGGAGAAGGAGAAATTGGGGAGAGGGAGAGCAAGAAAGAATGAGGGACAGAGAGAAAGAAAAAAGGAAAGAGGAAGGGAGGAAGGGAAGATAAAAGAATGGGGTAAATAACAACTAAGAAAATGAAATCAGTTATGTTCCTTTAAAGCAGCGCCTAATAATAGATGCTGATTCTAATAATAAAAGATACAGCTTCCATGTTACCAGAAAAAATTGTGAAAAGGCAGATTGAATCTAATAAGTGTTTAAATACTACACATATGCACACCAACAAAGTATCTTGATGAGCAGGAGCAAGGCAAAAATCAGGTTAAGTCGAATGATTCCCACAGAAGGTCAGAGAAGTGCTGTATACTGCAGCCCCTCACAACTCCTCTCTGGTAGTAGGAACCACACACTAGATCTTGCACTGGACCAAGATGTTCAAAGAGGGAACTGTGTGAAACACCACACTGTTCAAATATAATTTCAAAATAATTTTATTTTACTTATTTGCTTTTGTTGCCCAGGCTAGAGTGCAATGGCGCAATCTTGGCTGCCTGCAACCTCTGGCTCCCGGGTTCAAGTGATTCTCCTGTCTCAGCTTCCTGAGTAGCTGGGATTATAGGCGTGCACCACCACGTCTGGCTAATTTTGTATTTTTAGTAGAGACGGGGCTTCATCATGTTGGTCAGGCTGGTCTCGAACTCCTAACCTCGAGTGATCCACCTGCCTCAGCCTCCCAAAGTGCTGGGATTACAGGCGTGAACCACCATGCCTGGCCTTCAAAATAATTTTAAACTGGAAAAACACAGTTGCAAATGTTAGAGATACTTTAAAAACATTTATAATTATTTAAAAAATTATAACTATTGATAACTCTCACCCCTGGAACTGAAATGCAGCACTGTAGGGTACCTGGGCACACAGGCTAGGAAACTAATGAGAGAAGACTTGTGCTTTTTTTGCCCTTGGAAACTTCTAATTTGGAGGGACATACATTTTGTTTTTGCCCTTTTTGTGCTTAATGCTGTGATGAACACCCTTGCATATGGCCCCTTATATATCTGTGTACTTCCCTGGGATTTATTGTACCCAGGAACAGAATTGTTGGGTCATACAGTAAATGCATTTACTTTTTTTTTTTTTTTTTTTTTT